AAATTTTCAACCCGTAACTCGAAATTGGTTAAAACCCGAAATTTCTACCCGAAAACATAGCCTTACCCGATTTTTTAAAATCCTATATATAATTTTAGAATTGTTGTTTGTCCGCAGCTTTGAATTTTGCTGTGTTTGGCGTTGTGTTTATTTTTTAATTAAAAATGACAAAATATCCCAAAATTGAAAATAGTGTGTATTTAGAGAAGTAAAAAAATGTGATTTTTTTAGAATTTGTTTTGTAATTTTTTGTATTTTTTTTATTTTTCTTTTGTTTGTTATTGTATTTGAGATGTGTTTTAATTGTTTTTTTTGTTTTGTTTCTTAAAATTTGTTTTAAGTAAGAAAAATAGTGTGTATTTAGGGAAATAAAGAAGAATGTGATGTTAGAATTTGATTTGTTTTTGGAATTTTTTAATTTTTTTGTTTGTTAATTATGCTTAAGATGTATTTTGATTGTTTTGTTTTTTAAAATTTGTTTTATTTAGAAATTGTTTTTAAGTTCAAAACCAAAACGATTATTTATTCAAACAACGTTAGTGCCAACAGTTTTTTTCAGCTGATATTTAATTTAAATAACGAGAGTGTCCAACCGGTGGTTAATTTTTGTGAAGTTTGTTTTTTTAACAAAATTATAGTTAGGTTTTTGTGTTTGACAATGCGATACTAAATATTGATAATCCTAGATAGTTTGACACAGTGATACTAAGTAGTTGATTGTCCCTGATAGTTTGGTAAGTGAGATACTGTTGATATAGTTTGATACAGTGAGATGCTAAGTAGATAGTCCTATATAGTTTGATACAGTGAGATACAAAGTAGTTGATGAACTTTCTACTATATAACTACAACTGTAAGTTAATAGTTAATAGTAAAAGAACTTTTTACTATATATACTACAACTGTTAGTTAATGTAAAAGAACTTTCTACTATATATACTACACCTGTTAGTTAATAGTTAATAGTAAAAGAACTTTTTACTATATATACTACAACTGGTAGTTAATAGTTAATAGTAAAAGAATTTTAATATATACTAAAACTGTTAGTTAATAGGTGAAATTGATATTAATGGTTAATAGTTGAAAGGGTCTGGAACAAAAAGGGTTCCGTAACTGGGTGAAAAGGGTCCGAAAATGGTTGGAATATTGGTCAGCGAAAAGGGTCCCGAAAATGGGTGAAAAGGGTCTGGAAATGGTTGGAATAATGGTGAGCGAAAAGGGTCCCGTAACTGTGTGAAATAAGTCTGGAAACAGTTCGAATAATGGTGAGAAAATAGATGAAAAGTGTCTGGCGATGGCTGGAATAATGGAATAAGCTAAAATGGTCCCGTAAACGGGTGAAAAGGGTCTGACAATAATGGGAAGTAGAGATTTCGAGCAACAAGCAAGAGACAAGTGTCCGTCAAATGGCGTGAGAAAAGGATTCGTCAATAAACAAGATAAAAGAGACCGTCAATAGGAAAAAGAGTATAGTGTTCAATAGACTTGAGAAAACGGTCCCACAATGAGTGAAAAAACGGTAATGACTGAGATAGAGGAGTGACATTGTTAATAGTTAATAGTTGTAAATTGATAGTTAATATTTGAAAAATAGATATTAATAGTTAATAGTGAATGTTGAAAATCTTATTAATAGATGACATAGATATTAATAGTTAATAGTTGAAAGGTTGAAAGTTGAAAATCTTAGTTAATAGTTGACATAGATATTAATAGTTAATAGTTGAAAGTTAAACATCTTAGTTAATAGTTGAATCATTGTTAATAGTTGAAAATTGATAATTAATAGTTGACATAGATATTAATAGTTGAAAATTAGAAGTCTTAGTTAATAGTTGAATCATTGTTAATAGTTAATAGTGAAAATTGATAGTAAATAGTAGACAGATATTAATAGTTAATAGTTGAAAATTGGAAGTCTTAGTTAATAGTTGAATCATTGTTAATAGTTGAAATTGATATGTAATAGTCAATAGTAAACCGATATTAATAGTTGATAGTTAAAATTGATAGTTAATAGTAGACATAAATATTAATAGTTGGAAGTTGAATGTCTTAGTTAATAGTTGAATTAGAGTTAATAGTTGACGACTGAGGTTTTAGGTTTTTAATTTAAGTTTATGTGATGTTTAGAATTTGCTAGCGGAAGGGGCTCGCCCGAAGGGCGACCCCCTCCGCTAGTATATTTTAAAAATTATAAAAAGAAAAAGGGCAGGCCGAAACTTGCGGACCGACTTTTGCGGACCGAAACTTGCAGATCAGACGAATTTCTCAAAACATAGCTCATTCGAAAGAGCTCGACGAGCTGAGTCGAATGACATCAAAATCATCGTGATTGTACATGCTTGGACAAAGTTACGATAGAAAAACAAAAACATAAACCTCTGGTGTCCGCAAAAGTCGGTCCGCAAGTTTCGCACTACCAAAAAAAGAAGGGAAAGGGAAGGAAAATTTATAATTTCATTGCTTTTATTGATCGGTGGTTGAATGGGTAAGGCGACTGGCTCGATATTTTCATAGGGTGGGTTCGAGTCCAGGGATGGAAATGAGCCTTAAAAATTTTTCTTTTCAAAAATAAATGTTTTTAAACTTTAATCTTCATTTTAAATTTTTAAATTTATTTGTTATAAATATTTTAAGCTTGAAAAAGCATTAAAAATTTTAATTTTGTCATGAATTTTTCAGAATTCTCGCCTGCAGCGCATAAAATTAAGAGTTTTGGCTTCGTTTCCAACTAAACTTCAATAAAATTTTTGCCTGCGGTTCTGACAATTGAATTTTATCTCCTAAGGCCTTCAAAATTGCTCAAAATTTTTGCCTGTGGCGCAAAAAATGGAAGAAAATTGGAGGCTTTTATGGAGATAAAGCGGAAGGATATTAGTATATAGTGGGGCTTTTATCAAGGTGATTTTACCAAGATATCCCTATTTATCCCCAAATCCCACAATGTCTCTTTAATCTCTTCAAATTTGCCTCTATATCACCCAAAATCCTATTATGCAACATAGCTTGTCTCCATACAATTTAGTTCACCAATACCCGAACACCCGAAAAAACCCGAAATTTTTGCCAACCCGAAACCCGTGACCCGAAATGAAAATGCTCCAACCCGATACCCGTAACCCGTACCCGAAGATTTTTTGTACCCGTGGCAACCCTGGTACAAAGTACTTTGACAAATTAATTCTCATTTGAGGCCAGAAGTCCTGTGTCCACTCCAACTCAACGATATAAATTTGTTTAAATTATCAAAGCTAGGCGCCCTATGTTGGCTCAAGATTCTGTTTGTAACATGGACCTTCCTGAAAGGCTTACCTAGCTTAGATCACACTTTTTCAGATCCCATGCCTTTAGGGGGCAAGGAAAAAAGTGTTCAATTTTGCCCCATTGTGTGGTCGACCTAAAGATACACACAATTTTATGCATATACGGACTCTGGAAATAAAACCGATACGTTTTAAAACCCCCTTACGTGCTATGCTTCCTTCGTTTCTATGAATCATGGAAAATTATAAAATGAAATTATTCTTAAAAATTTCAAGGAAGAAATTTGCGTTATTGTGAGTTTAGCCAAAGAATGACTTTGACTCCCAAATAATGACAGAAATTAAAATTTTTGCCTCTGGACAAGTCAATAGATTTACTTATATTTTAATCAATTTTTAAACACTTATCGATATATTGTGCACACTAAAGATTAATCATTTGACAATTATGATTCGAGATTGATATTTAAACAAACTCAACCTGAAACTATAGACGGACCGAGACGAGATCTCGATGGAAATTCTCAGTTATCGAGATCTAGAATTTTTCTCGATCCTCGTACGACACTGCTAGTCTGGTCTCAACTTTAAATCCAAAATTAAAAGCTATCTTTTGTAACGTACTTAAATTAGCCATAGCCATATAGTATTGCTTTGTTCACGAAAAATCTGATCCAGTACACACTCTAAACCTTCCAAACACCTTCTAAACTAAATATAATTAGCGCTTATGAAATGAAAAATTAGTCAAATCGAATTTGAGTTCCAAAAAATTAAGCTGTCACGCACTCGAAACATGTTTGTCAATTCAATTCTCTATATATTTGTTAATATTTTAAATTTCCAATATTATACATAAACATACACCAGTTCATACATATAACATCTCAATTTTGTCTTAAAATCAAATAAAATTTCAATTTAAGGTTCCGACTCATACGACGAGCAAGTAAAATTTATTGAGGAAAAATTCAAAGCATTGGATGCGAATCCTGACAAAACTCTATATGCATCAAACTTGTGCTACTGATACTAAGCAAGTAAATAAATTAATGGGGAATCTCTTCTCTATTCTTATTTAGCGGATTGGCTCAAAATCCGCTAATTAGATCTATTAATTTAAATTTCCACACACAACAAAATATATTTATTTTCTTTTAATTAAAAAATACAATTGATTAAGCGAAGGAAAAGTGTGTGTAAAAAGAAGGCACTAAAAACAAAAGTGATTGAAGGGAAAAAACCGCTGGTAGGAACGTGAAAGTCATTTAAATAAGGCCATCGAACATAAAAAACTTTAAGATGATTATGTTAGATAAAGTCTGGGAAATTGTTTTGTGGATGAGTAATTTTAATAAAATTTATATTTTTAATTAAATTTATAATTCGCGTTGAGACGCGACACTCCCGGGCCGCAAAATGGTTGGACATTAAAAAATTGGGATGGCAAGAGTGGAGTTGCGGGAGTTAAGATTGGGACCGCAACAAACGAAATTTGGGGAGTTGGCATATAGGTCGGTACAGGTGCAGAAACAATAGAATGGCTACATAATGATTGGATTGATGGGGCTGGAGTATTTTTTAGATTAGGCATGAAATTGGGAGGTGGTGGCGGAGTTAGTAAGTTGTGTATATAGGTCGGGTTAAGGTGGACCTTATTAAGGGGAGTGGGTTTCAAATTTGTGTGTTCTCTGTGAATCCTTTTATTGCTTTTCCTCTTCCCCTTTCTTACTAAATTCTACTTAATTGTTTGTTCATGGATGGGCAGGGCGTCGATTGATCCAGATTCCCATATCCGCACTCGGGAGGCGCTGTTGTAGCGTTGAGGTAGTTTGAAGGAAGCCAGTGAAGGGAGTCTGAAGGAAGCCAGTGAAGGGAGTTTGAAGGAAGCCAGTGGAGGTGGTTGAACATGTGGGCGAGTTGAAGTAGTTTCTTTTGATGGTGGTGCTGAGGATTCGGTGGTTGTAATTCCAATGGTTGGAGTCGGGTCACCTTCCGTATTTGTGTCGGTTGATCGTGGATGATTTGGCCTGTTAGCTTTTAACAAAATTTTTGATCTTTTATTATTAGGGGGTAATTTTAAATAACGCTCCGAGCGCCCTCCGCCCCGTAATAAAGGTGGGTGGTTTTGGGCATCTATAGTTTGCTGAGTAGAAAGGACTCTGTTGTCCACATTAGTATTGGCAATACTTTTTTCGGAAAAGTAAGGGAAATGAGGGGGTATGTGGTGTCGTTGTGGGGGTTCTAAAACATTAAAAGGATTTTCTTTTACAATAAAATCGGATCCGTCGTCTACGGTCCGGTGTTGGTGTGTAATTGGGGGGATGTGTGTATGAAGAGGTGGGGAATCTTGGTTAAATTTTAAAACAACTTTGTCTTCTGTAAGCGTTGGGGGAGGGTCCGTTATACCAATTCCGTTTGGTGTAAAAGAGTCTGGGTCTGATTCGACGTGGGTGTCTTGGACGCAAAAGTTGGTCACTGTGTTGTTTTCCCTTTTATTTTCTGGTGGAGTTGGTGTTGGCTTAATGCTTAAAATTTGCGGGGGGGTTGGGGAGGTGTATATAGTTTGAAAAAAATACGGATTGAATCCGGTGTTTGGTTGGTATGTCTGGTAGGGAAATGGGGGCACGTTTGAACTGGGGGATAAAGGGGAAATTTGATTAGTGTGGATTGAAGTGTATTCGTTAGCGGTTGACGTTGATTGGCAATTACCCGAAAATTTGGGAAGGGATATTTCCGGTAAATGCCAGTGTGATTTGGTGTGTTGATTTGGATCGGGGAGAGCTGAAATTAGAATTTGTCGTGAGGAACGGAGATTTTTCAGGTATTTTTTCAGTTGAAATAACGTACGTAAATAAGGAACAGTTGCGGCAAAATTTTCATATATGAGTGTATCGGCGGTCCTTTCCGCTTCGGTCATGTTGGTTCGGACCGCCATCCATTTGTCGTGGGTTGAGGAAATATCTGAAATAAATTTTAAAACATATTCGAGCTCTATTTCCAAGGAGCTCAACAATTTCCGAGTGTCGGAATGAAATTGTGAAATACTTATATTGTCGGGTGGAATTGGGAACGTTTTTTGATTATCAAGAAGTTTTAGACCTTGCTCTTGGAAAAAAGTGAGCTGGTCACGGAAAGGTGCAGACATTGTGAATTAGGTGAATTAAAAATTAAAAATTTAAAATTTTTAAAAAAGGGGGAAGTCCGTATGTGTCAATTCCGCAGGACGCAAGCAGATGGGGAAGTCAGGAAGCGGTGTCGAAGTCACCGGCTGAGCTTTAGCGGATTGGCTCAAAATCCGCTAATTAGATCTATTAATTTAAATTTCCACACACAACAAAATATATTTATTTTCTTTTAATTAAAAAATACAATTGATTAAGCGAAGGAAAAGTGTGTGTAAAAAGAAGGCACTAAAAACAAAAGTGATTGAAGGGAAAAAACCGCTGGTAGGAACGTGAAAGTCATTTAAATAAGGCCATCGAACATAAAAAACTTTAAGATGATTATGTTAGATAAAGTCTGGGAAATTGTTTTGTGGATGAGTAATTTTAATAAAATTTATATTTTTAATTAAATTTATAATTCGCGTTGAGACGCGACACTTAGATTAGTCAAAATTATCCGTGTAGTGGGGTATTTTACCTAATTTTATTATTGTATACAGCGTATTCATGCTTTAGAAAAATTTATTGGACGGGAGATGGAATTGAACCATCATGGAAAGGGCACAAACTGAAGCACAGCCGACTGTGCCACTATCTAACCCAATGGGTTATTTACCTATTTTCATTTATATTCTTTCTTCAAGTGCGGATATTACATTTATCAAGCTCCCACATCTCTTTGCTAAACTTGAGCTTAAGTTTGCCCGATGGATGTCGTTAAATATAAATTCTTCTGTATATGGGTTTCTAAATAATTCCGGAAAATCACTGGAACTATCCATAACTTAGTCTCAAATAACTCGTAGACTACGTTTGTTGGTTCTCTGAAAATTATCGAATACACGCCCAAGTAGGCGCGCGGCCATAAAAGCGCAAAGCCATAACTTGGTAGAAACTATCTGTCACTTATAAATTTTAGTATCAATCTCCTTAGCTCGAAGAGAGGTATCGTTTAATACTAAATTGGTAAGATTTAGGATCTTGAAGCATGTTATAACTTTGCTCCGTGGCCACGCGCTTTTTTTATTTAGTTATGAAACGAATATCCTATCTCAGACAAATATTACATCTAATTAATCGAGTGGGATGGAATCGCTTATTAAACTATAATGAAGCTGTATACTTAAGCAATTCTTATTTAGATGCAACTCATTCTTGATTCTGTCATTGACTTGATTATTCAAACAAATCTGCAGGGATGTGGTTTTATTAATTTTTATTTTGTGATATTATTAAATATTTCTTTGACATATATAAAATTTTTAACTAAAATTTTGATTAAATTTTATATTTAGACGATTTTACAGTAATCAAAACTTTTATTGGTGCTAGTGCAGAGATGAGTCGGATTTCCGTTTTTAGACGTTTTTTCCTTCCGATTTCCGAAAAGAATTTTTGATTTCCAATAACCGAGTTCCGTCTTTCAAGCCAGTTCCAATTTCCGGCTCTTCCGATTTCCAACACTTCTGAATGTTCCGAACACCACTGCTCTAGTGTTAAATACTAGTGTAGTTCTTTTCATTATTTGAAAGTTATTAACTAAAATAATTTAACTTTATGAAAAGACAAGTAATATATAATACTAAGCTATCTGTGCGGTCAGTAGGCATCTATCATTTTTTGGAAGCCAAGAATTTCTTAGGCTAATTAATCTAAACATTCTTTGGAAGAGACTCTCGAATCAAAATTGATTGCAGAAGCCATCTAGACAATAGATATTTTTCAATGTACCTCGTACAAAAAATTCATACAGAAGGCTATCACTATTATGTCCTAGACTGCTGTGCATATATTTAGAAGACTGTTAGTTAGGTCTAGTGATAGGCACAGTTCTTTTCGTTCCAACACATTATTTGAAACTTATTAACTAAAAGGATTTTACTTGATAAAAAGAGTTGAGTAATAAACTTAGGTATCCGACGCACATTCTTAGCTATCATTTTTTGGGAGCCGAGAATTTCTTTGGCTAGTTTATTTAAGTTTCTCTCTAGGAAGAATTCGGAGAGGCTACATTGCGATTTCATTATCGCGAGTCGCGATAATAAAATTGAATAATTTGATCGTCGTAATTCTTTGGAAGTCTGAACAACGTTCTTTGCTATTTAATCAAAAAAATCATTCTTTCATTTTTCATGTGCTTTTCGACTTGAGCTCCTCAAGCTTCATCTAACCCATATATTTTTACATTTTTTACACAGTATTTAAATTTATTAATTTGTTTTTATTAATTCCACTCAATTTAACGAAAACAGACGCTTATGTAGAAATGATCGATTTATTTTTTGGATGCTGAAATTATTCAGCAAATTAAGGAATTCGGATCTTTAGCCTCTAAAATTCTCAAAATTTTCGTCTGCGGTACAGAAAATTTTAATTAAATCAACAGGGATATCGAGAGATGCTTAAGTAAATTGCATTAAGAGATAACTTGGGTTCGAGCATAGTCCATATTAGTTTTATAAATTCAAATCAAATTCTAGTCGATTGAGCTATTTGCTGAATAAAGTTTAGCATCCAAAAATAATTCAATGCACGAAGCAGGGCACACCGTTAAAATTCCAACAAATTTGAAATTTAATAAAAATGAAATAATAAGAAAGTTAATATTTTTAAAAAGTTATCTCTAAAGCACGGATTTATAGGCAAATACCTTTTTCTGCAAGCTTCGCATAATTTAATATGTTCGAAAAACGTGTCTTTAGCTACGCGGACTAATTTTGGTGTCAGTCGACTCATATGGACCGGCTCATTCGAATGGCATATAAATTAACCAAATCCAAAATCCCACGGCAATGTAACTCAGGCCGAGAATCTGGACCAATGACTGTTTTGTTGCTATTTACGGGGCTGGGCCACATTTTAAGATTTTCGCCATTTTCAAATTAATTAATAGCCGTGAATAATGTTCAGGCTTACAAAAAATAACAGTGCTTCGACCTGGACCGCTTGATTGACAAAACGCAAAATATTGCAGAATTTATTATGAAATTTAAAATTCAGTTATACAAGCCCCGTACACTAAAACAAGTTTTATAGAATCGACTTAAAATATGCGGATATCACAAGACTGACACAATTGGCGTGACAGGAAATAAAACAAAAATCCTTTCATTTTGCCGACATTTTAACTTATTGATATTGCGGTTATTTTTTTGACTTTTTCTGGAGGATATGTATTTCGTCTCAAATTTGACCTATAAAATAGCTATGAACATTGTCCAAGCTTCCAAAAATTAAATTCCTGCAAGGATTACAACCAAACAAAATTTTCGAAATTTTTTAGATAAAATTAAAATTCGATTAAGTTATGTTAATTAATATGTTTAATCATTAGCACGATTTTAAAGTTAATTCTAGAGAGAAATCTGACAGTGCATAAGTCTTTTGTCGCATTGTGTTAACTGCCAACATTTGTAAGCAGGCGAAATTTTTGAGAATTTTGTAAGACCTTCATAAAATAAATAAAATTATGCAAATAAATCTAATTATTTAATATTTATCTTTGTAAATTTAAAGAAATTTCTTTTTATGTAAAATTATATAGGTTATATATTACATAGTTTTATAATTATTCAAAAAACTCAGAAATAAAAGTTAGAAAATCATAATCATTTAAATACTATTTATTCCATTTCTGTCCTGTTTGTTTCTATTTGTTTTCTTCTTTATTCTTAGTTGTTTTTGGTAACAAGCACGACATATATATTGTTCAGGGTTAGAATGACGGTACCAATGTGATGTTTTTGTTGCTCCGCAAGTAAAACATTTGCGATATATCGTGATTCGCTAAAATATTTATAAAATAGGAGATGAAAATCGATACCAGATAAAAATATTTTAAAGATATTTTTATAATTTTCTACGAAATGATTTTGTCCATTGATGCTACTAAGTAGCTGGTT